ACACCTTGTTACCTCACTCCCTCAGTTTGGTTAACAATGTGATCAAGCCCAGGACCCACTCCCATCCAACTCAGGGAAAGCTAGCTAGCTGTCATGTGAAATAACATGGACTCACTTGTCGTCACATTTATTGTCCTTAATGCAACGTAACAGAGGTTCAGAAAACACTCAAAATGCATTACCTCCAAAATTCGCCAGTCGGCCGATTCGAGTGGATGGTACTTTGCGTTCACGTGCTCGCTCGCTCAGCTAGGGAAATAGAAACACAAAGATAATTAAGTCAGAAGGCATGGAGAAATATTTGGAAAGTGCCAGAATGTCAACCTTCTCCCAGCTACTAGAACAACCAAAATGCTCTGGTTTTAGGTCCACTACAGTGACCTAAGAACAAAATTTAGGCCAATTCTTTGCTTTACCCCCAGTGTCTTGGTCAATATCTACCCTTCAATCAACACTAATTAGAGTAATCTTTCTGACCACTATACGGCTATCATTTTGACCCTACAACAATGACTACATTTCACTAGGGCTTCGGGTGGCTGTAAACTGATGAGGGCCATCTGCAGCTGGGAAAGGCACTAGTGAAATTCAAGTTTTTTTTCCCCGAGTGAATGGTGCCTTTGAGTGAAGACGACTTTTGGGCCCATCCTTCCCGAATTCTCCTTTCAGCATCTCAGCCATTCTTCTGAATCAGCCTTCCTCCTCAGCGACTTTGAGATGTTAAAACATTTTAACGTGTAATATGGATGTTGCAAATTGCTGTGATTTAAACTTGGCAGCTAATCAAGCCTTTTTTGTGTGTTATAGAGTTTGGAGTGAGAGAACTCATGAGGTTCTAGCTATTTTACTCAGGGATATATAGGACTATTGAGCTCACATCCACTGGCCAGTATGCCTCCTCCTCCACTGCTGTATCTGCCTCTGCTGTGTCTCAAACTGCGGCTGAGGAACCTCTATGTGCTCCAAGTCTCAGTTCAGCCCATTGTGACTGTGCAGTCCTTTGAACCAACCCCACCTCCCTACTCTTTCTCTAGAATTTTTCAAATCGTTCCCCTTTGGATACTTATCCAATTCCCATTTGAATGTTATAACTGCATCTACTTCCAACTTTGCGCTTTCAGACAGTGCATCCAAACCAGTGTGTAAAATGATTCTCTTCATCTCTCCAATGACTCTTTTCCCAATTATCTTAAAAGTATGACTCTGACACCTGATTTACTCTATCGCAAACCTATTCATAGTGCAAACGCTGCCATCAAATCTTTCCTTAACATTCTTTATTATAAAGAGAACAATCACAGCCTCTCCAGTTTTTATAGAAAAATTGACGGAGCTCCAGAATCCTAAAGAATACAAAAGGGAAGCCGACACATTCAATCACCACAAATTAGCAGCTCTACATCTTTTGAAAAGGTGGCAGCATAGTGGCTATGTTATTCGACTAGGAATCCGGAGCTCCAGACCAACGTTCTGGGGAATAGGTTAAAATCACACGTTTACAGGTAGTGAAACATGAATTCAACAAATCTGGGATTTTAAACCTCTGCTCAAAGGCTGTAGGGGCTACTGGAACAGACTGGCAACTATTGAAATGTTCTTAAATTGTGAAAGGCATTGTATAATCATCAGATTTCCTTTCTGATTTTTGGGATTAGGCTCACTAGCTTCATTGCATCATCTCAGGCCCTTATGTTACAACAATCAATGCCCTCATATCTTCTGGGATCATTTCTGTGGAATATTACTGTATGTCATCCAGAATTCTGCTGGCATATGAACTCCCACTTGGAGACAGAGAAATAGGGAGAACTATGAGGAGCTTGAACATTTATGAGGTGTAGAGGCAGCGTATGACTCCAGACAGCAGTTTTCAATGCCCAAAAAAATGGACTAATTAAAAAAGGTAGTCTGGGAGGGTGCAAGATCATTGGCAACTGTGTTTCTCTAGCTACATCACCCTGCAAGAAAAAGGTCACCAGTCTTATACGGAGCATGATCAAAGTCAAAATCATTTAGGTGGATAAAATATACAGAGGATGCCAGCTAATTTGCAAAAAAGTTAGGCTCGTTAGTCTTTCATGGATTAAAAACTTTTCTAAAAACGTTCACAAAAAGAAGAGATTTTGTTAGTTAATGGACCAAGACTTATTTTTAATACACAAGTCACAGCACTAGCAAAAGAAAGACTTGTATTTATACAGCACCCGTTGCATCCTCTAGATGTCTCGGCCCTTTACAGTCAATGAAGGATCATTGGAGTGCAGTCACTTTTGTATCTTAGGAAAATCAGTGGTCAATTGGCACACTGAGTTACTAAGTAAACAACAAGGAAAACTAATGGTTAGAGATAGTGGGGACTGCCGATGCTGGAGAATCTGAGATAACAAGGTGCAGAACTGGATGAACACAGCAGGCCAAGCAGCATCAGAGCAGCAGGAAAGCTGACGTTTCGGGCCTAGACCTTCCTGCTCCTCTGATGCTGCTTGGCCTGCTGTGTTCATCCAGCTATACGCCTTGTTATCTTAAACTAATGGTTAGATTATTCTTAGATCTTTTTGAAAGGGTCCTTGCGAAAGACGGTCCAAAAGGAACTTGAGACTTGCAATTCAGTCACTACTGTCTAAGCATAGAATGTCCATACTTTACTGGGTTATGTAGCAATACAAGTTGTCTGTTTACAGTCACACCACAGGCTCGAGCATGACGTCTAGACTGACACTCTAATATAGTTGAGGGAATGCTGTACTGTCACAGGTGTTAGCTCTCAAACAAAGCCTCATCTGTCCTTTCAAGTGGATGTAAAAGATTGCATGGCACTATGTTAAGGAAGAGCAGGGGAGCTTGTCCAATATTCTGGCTAATATTTATCCCATAAAAATCACAATAATTCAAAAACAATTTAATCATGATCGTATTGCTGATGGTGGGTGCTGGCTATATATAAATTAACTAATAGATTATAACCATTACTAAACATGAGAGGTACTTCATTGGCTGTAACGTGCTATGGGATGTCCTGAGGATACGAAAGGTGTTGTAGAAAGCTAGTCTCAGTAATGGTGACCAGGAAACGATCATGGGATGTTGTTAAAAACCCAGCTGCCTCACTATTGTGGTTAGGGAGGGAAATCTACTGTCGTTACTTGGTCAGGTTTACATGAGACTCTAGTTCCACAACAATGTGGTTGACTTTTAATCGCCCTCAAATTTGGTACACTTGGTACAGAGGACTATGCATGCTAATATAATCTACATTCCATGCAACATGAAAAATAAAAGTAGCACTGGCTAAGTTAGCATTCTGAGGAGAGGAAACCGCATGATCTACTCAGGGTGTTTAAGATATTAAAAGGAATTGATAGGGCTGCCAGAAAGAGACTACTCCCCATGCTGGGGACTCTGGAACTAAATCATCACATCAAATTCGGGGATCATGTCAGGAAGCATGCATTCATTTGAAGGCTAATGGAAAGCTAGAATTCTCTCTCTCTCTCTTTTCCACCAAAAAGCAGTTGAAGGTCCATGAAAACTTGAATGCACAAACTGATGTTTGTTAGACAAGCCTATTTAGGATTAGTGAACCACGTGAGGGTTTGATGGAGCTCAGAACAGCTCAGCACAGCTCAGCTATGATCTTATTGAAAGAGAGATCAGGCACGAGGTGCTGAATAGCCTGTTCCAATCCCTGGTATGTAATGCAAGGGTATGTGTATTTGCAAATTGATATTTGGGAGGTTTTGGAGTGATACAGGAGAGCTTTAATAGAATGGTCCCAGGAAGAGACTGGGAAAGGTGGGATTATCTTTCTTACAGCAGACAAGTTCAGATAATTGAGGCATTCAAAATCATGAACCTTTTGGATAAAGAAAAACTGATGGCAATAACGGATGGGTGAGCAGTTTTTAAGTAATTAGCAAAAGAACCAGTGGGGAAATAAGGATAATTTGTTTTTTTTAAAAGTCCCTACAACTGCAATTCAAATGCAATTCACCTTTTGAAAGTTATTGTTGTATCTCCTTTCACTGCCGTTTCAGGCAGTGCAGTCCAGATCTCATAACTTCTACTTCAACAAGGCGTGATGTGGAGGTGCTGGTGGTGTCACTTCACCTGAGGAAGGGACAGCGCTCCAAAAGCTGGTGTTTTCAAATAAACCCGTTGGACTATAACCTGGTGTCATGTGACTTCTGACTTTGTCCACCCCAGTCCGACACCAGCACCTCCACATCCCGTTTTGTTGAAGTAGAAGTTATGAGATCTGGACTGCACTGCCTGAAAAGGCCGTGAAAGGAGATACAACAATATCTTTCAAAAGGTGAACTGCACTTGAATTGCAGTTGAAGGGAAAAATTCACAGGGCTGAGGAAACAGGAGGCAGGATAATTTAATTATTCTTGGATAAGAGAAACAATGAGTTGAACGGCCTTCTTCCATTCTGTAAGATTCCTTGCCACTTACTCACCTTCATCAAAGCCCCAAGGTTTGTCACTGGATTCAGCGAATTATTTAGCTTCAGCTGCTTGTCGATAAGAGCTGTGCAGAGTCGGACTAAAAGCAGACTCTAGTATTACATTCTCCATGTCAGCATCAACATGGCCAAATCACTTGAACCTCAATAATTCTTTTGAAGACAAATGAGCACTAAAATGGGTCTTCCAGAAGCTTCTATCACCCACATGGATTTTTCAAGTTTGCAAACTCACAACACATTGAGGTTGATTCAGTCCAAGCACACTGAGAAGGTGGGGGAAAGAATAGGACATACCATCTGTCTGTAAGGTTTGTCTGTAGGAGACACTTTGGCCTCTCGAGCCTTGTCGATGTCTTCAGCAGTTAACCCACTGACAGAACGGTGGTCTTGATGGAAGGACCGCCTCTGGGTTCCAGACGAGAAGGGACTGCTCGAGTCCCCAGATTGTCCAGTGGAGCGCCCAGTGTGTTTCTCAGGAGACGCTGGGTCAAATGCCGTGGGGTCAACAGCCACCTGCTGCTGTTGGGTGGCTGTGGTGAAGTCTTGCGTCCCCTCCTCGTAGGCCTCACCATCGAGACTCCACTTCGAAGTGAAATCCTTGTCTAATCCTGACAGGTTTTCTTGCCGTGATACAACATCCTAGAATGAGAAAATAAATAAATAGCAGGCGGCTACTTACAGCAAGAAAACCTGCAGCATATGTCCCAGATTTAAACCTCCCTTCACTCTGTTGGTTAAAACAAGGCCAGCAGGTGCTAATACTTACCTTTGGAGGCAGCTCAGAAAAGCTTCACTAGGTGATTCCTGAGAAGAGATGTCTTACGAAAGGTTGAACAGTTTGGCCTATACTCTTTGGAGTTTAGGGAGAACAAGAGATGATCTTATTGAAAGATTAAAAAGATTCTGAAGACTCAACAGGTTCCATGCTGAAAGCATGTTTCCCTTTCTGGAGAAGTCAAGAACTGAGGGCACGATTTAAAGACAGACAAGTTTTCCATCTAAGATAAGAATGAGAAGAAATGACTTACCTCAGCTTCATTCCTTGTTTGGAATTCTCTGGTACAGTGAAGCTGAGTCATTAAGTGTGTTCAAGCACGAGTTACAGGAATAGAGGTTTATGGAGTGCAGGATAGCAAAGCAGATTGAGGGCATGATCAGATCAGCTACAATCACGTTAAAGGCGAAACAGGCTCAGTGGGTGGTATGTCTCACTCTTGCTCCTAATTCAGATGTTCTTCTGTTTTTAGTGAGGAACACCAGCACTTAGAAGTTCCCCGCCAAACTGCACACCATCGTGACTTGGAAATATATCACTGTTCCATTATTGTTACTGGGTCAAAATCTTGGAATTCCCTATCTATCAACAGAGTTCCTTCACCTCAAAGACGGCAACAGTCCAAGATGCAAGTGCATCACCACCTTCTCCATGTCAATTACTGTTAGACAATTAATGCTGGCCCTATCAGCGATGGTCACATGCGCAGAATGAACAAATATATATTTGTTAAGAAAACGTGGTTCTGTACCTGCACCTTTCCTACTGCTGCACTGATGGCATCTTCGGCAGACGCTTGCCAGTCCTTGGCCGCTGCCACTCGCATCTGCATGGTCTGGGTTTCCGCAATGGCCTGGCTCAGCTTGGCAAGGCCCCTCATCAACATGAGAACGTCACTCGCCATGATGGGGCTGCACTTTATTTTTCTGCTGTAGAAACAAACCCCCTAAATTAATAATCAAATCAAACAAGGAACCACTTCAACCAATTACAGCACCAAAGAGAAACACTGCATTTCAAAATGGAACAGCATCTTCTCAGAGAAGACAAAGTCCTGCGCAGGCACACACACAAACACAGACTGGTACTCATTGTTCTTTAGGCAAATGCGGCATATGTTTTGGCTCCAGTTGCAACACGATTGACCAGTACTACAAGCTGTTATCGACACAATGCCTTCAATGTAATACACAATATATTGCAATATTGGAGAGGGTGGGGAAGAGTCGGCCGGGGGGGGGGGGGGGCGGGGGGGGGGGGTGTGGCAGCGAGAGAGAGAGAGAGAGAGAGATAGAGATTGTCTTACAATGGAAAACTTAGATAGACTAAGTTAGATAGACTGAGTACCAGAGCTGAACCATCGTTTACTGCTCTTTGCATACCCAATTACCCTGAGGAATTATTGTGTTTTAAAGGAAAGACCTGACATCAATCCACATAAGGCAATATTAAGACAAGTGGCCAAAAGTTTGTCATGAAGGTACGTTTAAAGTGTTTTAAACAAGGAAATCAAACTAGAAAGAGACAGACAGAAAGAGGCATGGAGAAATACAGGGAGGGCATTCCAGAGGTTAGGCTTAAGGCAACTGAAGACATTGCTACCAATGGCGAACCAATTAAAACCAGGGTAGCAAAGAAGCCAGGATTGGATATATGCAGTACAGGATAGTAGATGGAGATTACAGAGATATGGAAGGATTCAAAAACAAGGCAAGAAATTTTAATGCCGAAGTGTTGCTTAATCAGGAGACAATGTGAGTGGGTGCAGGGGTGATAGGAGAATTGAAATTGATCAGGAGATGCGTTGCAGCATTTTGGACCGGCCACTATTCCAATTTAACGAACAAGTCCAGAGGTAAAGTAGGAATGAAGGAGAGTTCCAGCAGCAGGTCTGCTGAGGCAGGACACAACAGGCCAAGACAAGTTCATTTTGCTACCCAAGTCACGAGAATGGTTGATGTGTTAGATGCTGTTCAGAAAGTATCACAACAGAGCAAACTTACTATGCCCTAACTTTACAGATTTCCCCAAATTAACAGACCCCCTGCTCTCTACCTGTGGCCACTCAAGCTCCAACATCAACACTCCAGCAAGCCCACCAGCCTTTTTACTGCTTTGCACAGATAGCAATGTCCCAAAGCCTTTGGCCCTCAACTAACATCACGAAAACAGAGATATTATGCAATTTGCCTGCTGCATTACAACACTGATAACTCTTCAAAAGTGTCTTGTTCACTGTAAAGTGCTATGGGGTGTCCCAAGGTTGCATTAGGCTCTATTTAAATGCATACTCATGAAGGTGCAAGGGGCCCAAAAAAACTCATGAACTGAGAAACAAATGGCAGTCTTACATTTCCAGAAAAAGGAATGATACAGCAATCATCAAAAATTTCTTACTTATTCCAAAGGAGTTGTTTGTGCTGAGTGGCATGGTTAGAGTAAACTCACAGCTGCTATTGCCAGTGTCGCAATACCTAACTTCTTAAAAGGGGAATGTGAGAGTACTTGAAAACACTGTCTTTAAAGACTGCTGGAACACACTAAAACCTCAGCAGGGTGTCAGTCACAGAAGGAATGAAATGAAAATATTGTCATTTTTTTTTTAAAAGCATCATTGCCAAGATCACCGTTTATTATCTGTCCATAACTGCCTTTAAAAAGGTGCTGTTCAGCTGCCATTTTAAGCACAATCGTGTAGTTTGCTTGACACCACTCAGGGGTCGCGTACAGGCCAGACTGGTAAGGAGGCAGGTTTCATTCGTCAATGGACATTAGTAAAGCTGATGTTTTTTTCACAACTGTTTGGTGGCTTCATGACCATAATTCATGAATGTATTCGGTTAACTGAATTTAAATCCCCCCAGTTGCTGTGGTGAGTTTGTGTCTCCAGATCATTAATGTAAGGCTTGATATATAATCAATAAGAGACCAATAATGCATGCACTGCGCACACACTACCCAATGACTTCATTAGCCAGAATATCCCAATATGCCTCAAAACCAATTAATTCCTTCTGAAATTCATTCACTGTCAGAACGGAGAAGGAAAAAGGAAGATGAAAAAAGGCAGAGCGAGGGAAAAGAGCAAGACAAAAAGGGAAGGAGAAAAAAAGCAAAAGGAAGAGAAATAACTGTGGAAGATTACAGAGAGACAGGGAATGGAAATAAATAAAAAGAGGACCATATTGGTGCAATCACAAAATGGATGGTACCAAAGATAATGACTGTCAAAGAGATGGGTTTTGAGGACAGTTTTAAAAGGAGATGTGCTTAATGGTTTAGAGAGAGAATCCCAGAGCTTAGGTCCCATTCACTCAAGATATGGACATGAATAACAGGGCAAACAGCTGGCTCTAAGAACCCAGTCAGAACCAGGAAGACAACGACAGTATTACTGTACGTGAGTGAGAATTTCACATTGCAAACATTGGGAACCAATGTAAGCCAGTAACATGAGTGATGAGGAATGGGAGGCTACATATAGCAGAACAACAGTGCACCAGAGGTTTGGATGGGGGAGTGGCTGGGGGTGGGAGGTCAGCCAGGAGTGCATTGAAATAGTCCGAAGGTGACAGAGACTCACTTAGATAAGGGTTTCAATACCATCTGAGCTGAGACAGTGATGTTATAGAGCTCAAAGTCAGCAGTCTATGAAGGCTAGAATGTGAAGTTAGGAGCTCAAGCAGACATTACGTAGGTACAGAGATAGTAGGAACTGCAGATGCTGGAGAATCCGAGACAACAAGGTGCAGGGCTGGATGAACACAGCAGGCCAAGCAGCATCATAGGAGCAGAGAGGCTGACGCTTCAGGCCTAGACCCTTACGTAGGTACTGATGGCTGAGAGACAGAAACTGGCTGTTAACCTAAATAACAAGATTAGTCGGTACCACACTCCACGCCAAACCCATTCCCGAGTCTCCGTCTACCATATTCTATACCAAATCCATTCCCGAGTCTCTATCCACCAACCTTCACTCAAAACCCATTCCCAGGTTTCCATCTACCATATTCCTCTCCAAACTCACTCCGGAATCTCCATTCAACAAATCCCTCTCCAAACCCAGTCTCCAGTTTCATTCACCACATTCCTCTCCCAACCTATTCCTGAATCTCCATTCCCTACATTCCTCTCCAAACCCATTCCCAAATCTCTGTTCATCACACTCCTTTCCATAAACCATTCCCAAATCCCCATTTAACTAATTCCTTTGCAAATCCATTCAAGTCTCTAACCACACATTCCTCTCCAAACCCATTCCCAAGTTTCCATCTACCACATTCATCTACAAGCCCACTCCCAAGTCTGAGTTCACTGCATTCCTATCAAAACTCATTCCCAAGTCTTCACTCACCACCCTCCTCTCCAAACCCATTCCCAAATTTCCATTCAAAAAATTCCCCCTTCAAACCCATTCCCAACTCTCCATTCAACAAAACCCTCTCTGAATCCATTCCCGAGTTCTCTACCCACCATACTCCTCTCCAAGCCCATTCTAAAATCTCCATCCACCACACTCCTCTCCTAACTCATTCCCAAGTCTTTACCCACCACGTTCCTCAGAACTGACCCATTCCAGAGTCTCTGCCAACCACACTCCTCTCCAAACCCATTCCCATATCTCCACTTAATGAATCCCCCTCCAAATCCATTCCTGACTCTCTATACACCACACTCCTCTCCAAACCCATTCCTGAATCTCCATCAACGAATCCCTCTCCAAACCCATTCATCACAGAAAGCCCTCATTCGCCAACTGGCCCTCCATTTCTTTCAACATTACTGAACATAGTCACCCAACTGCATGAAGAAAAGTCTGCACTGGTGTGATAACTTATCATATTACTGAGAAACATAGTAAAGGAGTTTCTGATTAATGATTTTCTTAGACATGATATATCACTTTGAAGGTAAATATAACAATTTATTTGTACATAGCAAGGCTTCACTGAGAAAGCTCCAATTACCAGCAATGAGATAATAACGAGAGAATCTGCCTTCACAAGGTCGATAAATGTTGACCAAAATACCAGGTAGGACTCTCCTTCTCTTTGTCAAAGCAATGTTATGGGATCTTCATCAGCCAGCTGAGGATATACTGTGTTGATTTAACGTCTCATCTGAAAGATGACAATGCAGCACTCCTTCTTCAGTACAGCAGGGGAGTATCAGCATAGTCCTTGCAGTCACATCTCTGGAATAAATGTGAGCCTACAAGCTTCTGGCTCAGAGATAAGAATATGATCCATTGAGCTATGACTGAAACCTTCAACATGCCTAACCACCTCCTGGCCTCACATGTTTTCCAGTTCACTTCGCTGTCATGTTCAAATGCCACCAAGGCTTCAACCCTACATTATCTCCACTGACCTGGTCAAAATTTATCCCTTTCAACAGCATTAGTAGAACAGACGATCTGGGATGGGCAATAAAACTGGCCAGCCAGCGACGTCCACGTCCCACAGACAAATAAAAATAATTATCATACTGCTGTTTGCGGAATCTTGCTGTGTGAAAATTGGCTGTCACCTTTCCTACATTGCAATAGTGCCCACACTTTACAGTGAACGAAATCCTTTTGAACTGTTTCAGGACATACCGAGATGGTGAAATGGGAAGAAGAGTGGGACATTCAGCACCTCAAGTCTGTTCTGTCATTCAATGAAATCAGGGTTGATCTGCAACCTAACTTCATATATCCACCTTTGTCCCACATCCTTTAATATATTTGAACGAAAAAAAGACTTCATAATTGACTCAGGAACAATAGCCAATTGAACAGTCCCAATTTTCTTTGGATGTAGAAACCACCTTCCAATTGCTAGTTTCCTTCCAAGTCACACACCATCCTGACGTGGAAATATACTGCCATGAGAATCTCTGGATCAAAATCCTGGAGCTTTCTTCCTAGAAGCACCCCGAGGACTGCAGAGGTTCTTGAAGGTTATTAGCGATGACAATGCCTACATGCCGTGAAAGAATAATTTTAAAAATATTTTCCAATTCCCCTTTAAAAACCATAGGGAATATCAGCCTAATTTGTGTATAAAACTGCTCATTTTTCTCTTTTTTCTTTAATGAAATGTGTCATTGTTAGCAACTGCAATCACTCATCGCCCTTGAACCGACTGGCTCTCCAGGCCATTTCAATGAGCAGTTCAATTCTGATGCTGTGGGCGTAGATTAGGTTAGCTACTAATTCCAGATTTTTTTTTAAATTGAATTCCAATTTCACCACCTACAGTGGTGGAATTCAAACCTACATCCCCAAAACATTAGTCTGTGTCTCCAGATCACTGATCCAGTCAATTACCAATATACCATTGCCCCACTCCAGCATCACAACCCCCACTGCTCCAAAAAACAGCCATCATTCTTTCTGTCACCAAGGTGCAGTGTCCTAGGACTTCTTTTCCCAAACCTCACCTCATTGCCAGACTCTGCTAAAACCCTCCCCACAGACCCCGAGATCAGGGACACCTCTTTCTTCGGTTCATTTGCCAGTTCTCAATCATGTTTCTCTGAATCAACCTGGAACAGGTTTCCACATTAAAATGCACAAGAACAATACAAGTCTCTGTTTAGTCAGTGCTCTCAGCTTTACACTCAAAGGGCAAGACACCAAAACACACTGTTACACTCCAATAAGCAGTTAAGTTTTAATTTTGCTTTGCTACTGGTATCTCAAAACTTTGCGTTTCTGTTCAGGATTGCCAGTCCTGCTGGGTGAGCAGTGGGAAGGGGACGGGGACAAGGGTATTGTTGCAAAGTTTGTTATTTACAAAGCAAACAGGGTTCCATCAATCACATCACTCAAAATATAGGATGGGCTGGGTCAATGCTCAAAGTGCAAGGTTGAAAAGAGTAAGAGAGGGAGAAAATAACCAGACTAGATCTTAATGGTCCATCAAGAAAGACTGAACAGCCTGGGTGCTTTCCTCTAGAAAAAATGAAGGCAGAGGGGGTGAACCACACAAAGTCTTTTGCATTATGAGAGGTTCAATAGGGTAACTAACGTTACTGATGGAGGAATCCAGGATTAATGTCGTAAGTAAAAGATGAGCATTAAAAAATTTAAAGGAACTTTAGAAGAAACTTCTTTATATGGACAGGGATCAGAATGAGGAACTGACTAACACAAAAAGTGGCCACAAAAGGGAAGCTGGATGAACATGTGGCAGAAATGAATAGAAGGACTTGTTGTTTGGGTTCAAATTATAATGATGTCCATTTATATAGCACCTTTATTAGGAAATGTTCCAATCCTTCACAAAAACATTAAAGTTTCACACCAAGCTATGAGTTATTACAGCAAATGACTAAAAACATGGTAAGAGCAGGAGGTTTTAATGAGAGCTGTACAGAAACAATCGGAGAATTTCAAAGCTTAGGGACTTCGTAGCAGAAGACACAGCCATTAACAGTGGATGGATTAAAATCAGCTCGCCAAAGGATACACGTGTGGAGGCCAAACACCAGCACAGACCAGGTGGGCCAAATGGCCTGTTTCTATTCTGTATATTCTGAAAGATCCAAGGAGCAGGATTTAAAATAACACCAAGCTTAGGTTCTGGACGTCTCTCAATCATATGGAAGGGAGGGTTGAGGAAAAATACAACAGCTTACCAGACTCTGGATCAATTCTACATTTATGGGAAAGAGATAATACATCTTAAAACCTGGTGTATGAGATACTGATTCAAATGTTTTCACCCCTCCCTGACTACTACTTAAACTACATGGCAATCTCAGTAGAAAAAAAGTGACCTTGAAAGAAAGAGGACACCCTCTACTCGAAATTTTACAGTCAAGAAAATTCTGGCGAATGCTGCGTGGATTCTGCAGGAGCTCCACCCCCTTAAGAAGTTTACATCAGTGAGTAGATTAATGGCCAACTCTTGTGTTTGTTTTTAAACTACACAACACTGCCTGTCAGAATGGAATCACTAGCCCTGTGAATAATCTCAAACATGTCCATAGATCAGGGAAATAGACTCTCACAGATGGAAACTTGTTAAGATTGCAGATCTGGGATCCTAGCCTTCATGCTGTTGCTGTTCATAATGCTGACTGTCTGTACTAGTCTTCAGACAATCTGTTTGCCTGTCAGTCAGCCATCCATACATTCAGCGTGTTACACTAAGCAGAGTATGGCAATACCATCCAACTCATTTCCCTCCCCCACAAATTCAGGACAACTCCACCCGCAATATATTTTGGTAACGGTTACAATAACCCAAACGCCAGCAACCTCTTCATACACCACAAACCCCAGAAACACATGCCCACCAGAAACCCCTGTAACTCATAACATACGCTCCCACTGACAACACACATCTACCACAAAAACCCCCACCCACAGCAACAATACAGTCAATATAAACTTCTTCCCATCCCCAGCAACCCCCTCCTCATCCACAGATCCTCCTCCCCTCCAGAC